TCAAATTTTTCAGGCGGAAATTTCCGGAGGTCATGTGATATTCCGTAAATCGACGCCTAATTAAATTTCCTGATGTACTATGGCCAATTTATAAAATATATGTACCCAATAAAAAAAATAAATAAAATCAGGTACCCAATATATGAATGATGAATTTGAATAAAATATCAAAATATTAATGCCTGATATGAAACTAATATGGGTCCAATAAGTGTCCGAACTTCTGCATTTCGACTTCACCAATTGGATGTCTAATATATTACATAATTGTTAATATCAGACACCTATCATATACCTATCAGGTTTCTGATAGATATATGATAGGTGTCTGATATTTCCTATTTCAACTAGTGATCAAAATTCTATTAAAAATAAATGACAAAATTATCTACGATCTACTACATCAGGAAATTTTTCAGGTGTAAATTTCCATAACACAAATGGGACCCATGGAAATTTACACCTAAAAATTCAATTTTTTTGACTTTGGTCACAATTTACGAGACAGGAAGTGATTTTTTACTAAGGTATTTCTATAACAGATCGAAAGCACTGGTTCTTGACTACAAGATGATATGTAAATTATTCCTGTAGCATTGATGTCCGCGGAGATATTCACGTTTAAATTTTGAATGTCCGTGAAAAATTTGGTATAAATTTTCTGTAAATTTTCGTAATTCTGCTGGAAATTTATCGTGACATAATAAAAATTTCCTGTAGCATCGATATCCGCGGAGATATTCACATTTAAATTTTGAATATCTGTGAAAAATTCGGTGTAAATTTTCCATAAATTTTCGTAATTCTGCCAGAAATTTATTGTGACATAATGAAAATTTCCAGCAAAATTATGAAAATTTACACTGAATTTTTCACAGACGTTCAAAATTTAAACGTGAATATCTCCGCGGATATCGATGCTACAGAAATAATTTACATATCATCTTGTAGCCAAGAACTGGCGCTTTCGATCTGTCATAGAAACACCTTAGTAAAAAATTACTTCCTGTCTCGCAAATTGCGACCAAAGTCAAAAAAATTGAATTTTTAGGCATAAATTTCTGTGGGTCCATTTGTGTTATGGAAATTTATGCCCCAAAAAATTTCCTGATGTAGAATTTACAAGTTATTTGCAAACAATATTGAACAAATTTATTATATACAACACATGACTTTTAGAGCTATTGCTTATTTGAATAATTAGTAGTTTAAGGAGTTGATAGACTTTAAAAAAAGTTACAAAGAGGACTTTGCAATTTAACGAGGGGAAAAACTGTTACCATGAGTTTTTTCCATTTTAATAATTTTCTTAATATTTTATTATTTCTTATTTGTATTATTTTATTAGTATAATTATTTAATATATTTTGTGTATTTTAATATATTTTAATTATTAGCTATAATTAGTATTTATTTATTTCATAGTGTAATACGAATTATATAAATCAATAATGTAGATCATAGTGGTCCAGTTACTGACCAATTTACTGTCAACTGATTGATCAATTTAGTAGCCAACTGATTGGCACAATTATTGATCAAGATTTTAATCAACTTACTAATTAACTTATTGGCCAAATTAAATATTATAAAAAGGATGAATTTTCCTTCCATCCCAAGGCAAATTCAAATAATTTCAAATTAGATTTGAATAATTCTAAATAGTGAAATTTAGAAAATAGTCTCAACTGTAATTAATTCTATAACTGAATTAATATTTTTATAATCCTAAAGTAACTGGATTATTGATTTTCTTCATAATAAATTTATATTTTCTATATTAAAACTTCATTATTCTTTTACTAATTTATATTCTTTGAATATAAATTCTGATTTATAAAATCCTGTTATTATTTTATAAACCACTAATGAACATATTTAACTCTTTATTTTAATTCTTTAAATCAACCTAAAATTTAACTGTTAATTAATAATTTAAATCTCGTAATCACAAATTCTTAAGTCTTTTAATTAGTTTTAGTATTTAACTTAAAATAATTCTTTTATTCTTTTTCTATTATCTTCTTCAATTCATAAACTAAAATAACTGTTTATGAGTTACTAGTTGTAAATTGTCTTTTGGAAAATAAAATTAGTTCAAAGGGTTGACTAGTAATACTGTACACATGCAAGTGAATGTTATTGGAAAGATTTAACTTGAATAAAGTTTATGCAATTTATTGGTATTTTAACAATAATGGCATATGTGATTATTGGTCAATAAAACAAAAAACTAGTGAAGTTTTATTAGGATTTGATTAGTATATGTCACATTGACATTTTTGGGATATTGTCAAATTTTTGACACTAACAGATACACCAATAGATGATAATGATCTATTTTGTTTTGTTCGAAAATTCCATAATGAATTTAATGAAAATCTTGCCAAAACTATTACATCTGGAGATATGCTTTGCATCGATAAATCAATATGTCAATAGATGGATAAAATTGATAAAAGTTCATTTTAATAAAAAATACCAAAAAAATCTCATCCAATTGAATGTGAATTCAAAACTATAGCCAATGCACGAACTAATTTATTTTTACAATTAGATTCTGTAGAGCCTCCGGAATATTCTAGTAAAAAGAAATTTGCTGAACATTCAGTAACAATTGCAACTATGTTATTATTAACTGAACCATGGTTTAGTAGTGGAAGGACAATCATTGCCAATTCATGGTTTGGTAGTGTAAAGGCATGCACTACATTATATAAACATGGTTTATATTCTATTTTGCAATTAAAAAAACATTGATATTGGCCAAAAAACATTCCTAGTGATATCACAGATGCCCTGAAAAGTAATTACAGATCATTTATTAGTCAAGTTGGAAAATTTGATGATGTTGATCTTACCTTGTGCTCTCTTCGTGATCGTAAAAATATTGTTCTCCTTGCCAGCTGTTCTACAACAAACTTTAAGAATGAAATAACTAGGTATATTAAGGGTCATGGTAATGTTAAATTTCATAGGCCCACTGTTTTTGATGAATATAATGAGTATCGATCAGCTGTAGATATACTCAACAATTTACGTGACAATGCACTTTCTTATTATGATGTTCTCACAACAAAATGTTCAGAAAATCGAATTTTGGCTTTTTATTTTTCTGTTGCAAAGGCAAATAGCTATTCTGCATACTGTCAATTTGTTCCTGGAAAAAAAAATATGAAACATGTAGATTTTTGTAAGCATTTAGTAATTTCAATTTTTGATTACTATTCAGAAGATGAAACTGTTGGTAATAGAACGTTTAAATAAAAAAGAAAGGACTCAAATGACATTGAACATGATCTCATTAATATCAAAGATGATTCTTCATCTTCACGACTTAAAGGAAAGCATATTCAACGTCATTGCATTAGTTGTCATAAACGTACTACTACTGGTTGCAGGTGTTCCATGCCACAAGCCATGTGTTCAAATTGATGGGCTAATCATATTCGCAATACGTATAATCCAATTCGTACGGGGTAAATATTTTTTTATACATTCTTCTATGTCTATTCTATCAATTTTAAAATCCGCAGCTAATAATCTTTTCTCAGTAGATCACAAAACGATCTTTAATAGTGTACTACACATAGTACACCCGTTTTTACAAATAATGTCATGACTTTATAATTTTATATTTTGTTAATTCTATAATTAATGTAAATAAAAATTGTGCTAATGTATAAAGGAACATTTAAGGATTCTTTGAATAAAAAATTATGCAAATTTATTGAATTTTGAGTGCTCAGTGAATTTTATTAAATGTACTACCGGTAGTACAAAAGGTGAAATCCTATCCATTAATACTAAAATAATTCTCGATATATCTTTGAACATACTGCTTGTCATATCAGGGACGAATATTAAAGGATTTGGGTAATGTTTTATCTTTTTTATCAAGAATGATAGAAATATCAAAACCCGACTTTATACGACTTATTTATGTTTATAGCGCCTATAGTATAAGATCTACTTTAAGACTTATAAATATTATCTGATCTGTAAAGCGATCACTCCGGTAGCACAAATAAGATTGGGAAATATAAGTATAAATATCAGAAATATATATATATATTTTTTCATTAATGACGCTACTGAAAATGGCACCAACTAATCCCGAAGAAGATTCCAAACTACGAAAACTTACACATGAACTTTGTAATCAACTTGCCACAAATCGGGAACAAATTAGGACATTACAACATCAAGTTGAAGACTTAAAGGTGAACCAATTTTTTTAAATTAAAATAAAAATTCGAATGAATGAATTAATTAAAATCATTTAAAAGTAAAAAAAAAAATTTTTTTTTTTTAACGTATTTTGCAATTTTTACGTTTTTAGTCTCGTACCGAAAATTTGGAAGGACCTTTTATATCTCGTTCTATTAATTATCGAGGTATTTAAGAAAAAAAAATCATAAGAATTTAAATTATAATTTTTAATTATAATTTAAATAACAAAAAATATTTAGGACCATCATTTGAAGTCGGGACAGATTTAGAACGTCAAAATGCCCGATTGATGTTAGAAAATCAACAATTAAATGAAGAAAATTCAGAATTATTATCAATAGTTAAAGAATATGAGGGTACTTTACAAGTTATGATGAATAAATTTAGAGTCCAATCTGTAAGAAATTTTATGAACTTATTTTCATTAATTTTAATTTTTATTTATTAATTTTATTTTATTTTTTCATTTATTTTATTTTTTATTTATTAATTTATTTTTATTTATTCATTTTATTTTTATTTATTTATCAACTGTTTCTTTTTTATTACTTGTAGTATGAAATACAACAAAGCAAATTATCTATGCAAAGAGATTACGAAAAATTATTGGAAGAAGAAAGGGTATTTCTTTAATCATTAATTTATTCATTATTATCATTATTCTTTTTTATTTAATTTGTTATATTATTCATGATATTTATATTCTAATTTTTTTTTTTTTATTAATTATTTAATTATTATTATTATCATTCATTCTTATTTTCTTAATAATTCAGACAAAAAATTCTCAAATATTAATTGAAAATGCATCTTTGCTTACCCAAATCTCAAAAATAAGTAAAATAGTTAGAAAAGCTTATGATGCACAAGTTGATTTGGATACAGAAATTTTATTGGAAAGTTTATATATTGAGAATCAAGGATTAAGACAAATGTTGGGCATTGATGTTGATGTTGATGTTGATGTTGATATTAGTAATAATAATAACAATGAGGATGATAACAATAATAATAATAATTATAATAATAATTATAATAATAATTATGATAATAATAATGATGATGATAACAATAATAATAATAATTATAATAATAATTATAATAATAATTATGATAATAATAATATAATCAATAATAACAATGACAATAATGACAATAACTTTTATAATAATGATAATAATAATGTTAACAATAAAGATAATGATGGTGATGATAATAATAATAATATTGAAGAAGAAGAAATTATATTAGAATTAGAAAATAATAAAAGTAATAATAATAATAATAATGATAATGATGATGATAGTAGTAATAATAATAGTAATAATGATAATAATAATGAGAGAGATAATAATAGTGATGATAATAGTAATGAGAGTGATAATAATAATAATGATGATAATAATAATAATATATAATATAGAATATTTAAATATGTATAAAATATTTAATGTATAAAATATTTAAAAAACAAAAAAAAAATCCGATTATTAATTTCAATTAAGCATACTTTTATCCTTTTATTTTATTATTATTATTCATTTAATATCAATTGACAATTAGGTAATTAAGCACAACAATAGTTATAAACTGAACATTATTATTATTACTAATACATGGAAATATAAAAAATTCAAAATGATATATTAAAAAGGGATCATTCGCTATTGTTCCGTATCATCTACACACATCTCTCAAAAATTATTCTGGTCGGAGAGCTATAACGCAATTTCCAACCTTCTCCTTCCTAATACATTAATAATATATTAATATTAAATATTAACTGTAAAAATATTAAACAATAAATTAAATTATAAAATACCTCGTATACACAGTTACTTCACCTCCCACAGCCGGAACGCGGTCAACCCCCTCTTTTTTTGGAAGATCGATGTCATATTGTCAATCTAAAAAAAAATAATAAAATATATTAATCAGATTTATATCTATCTATCTATCTATCTATATACATAGATAGAAACACATACCAGAAAAGAAACCATTATCTTCACTATCGTAATTCAAAGTATCAAAATCAACTTTATAACGAAGTAATCCTCCAATTCCTCCAAATCCTTTAACGAATTGAGATCCTTCTTGAGATCGATTGGTGACAAATTCTAAATTCGCCCCAAAATCCTTGTAATGATCTGCGAACCATTCTAAAAGTGGCATCCTATCTACTACTTCCATTTCAAGATTTGTTTCTTTATCCAAGAAAAGAGATCGATCTTTCTCTTGTTCTTTGGTAATATGAACAATTACTTCGGCTACATATATATATATATCATTCAAGTAAAAGATTAGTAAAATATTGTTAAAAGATTTAATATATATATATATATTCATAAATTTAATAATACATACCTCCACCACTATTCTTTAATACATAACGAGTAACATCCAAATTTTCCCAAACAATCAGCGTCTCAACTGCTCCCAATTCTAAACCTTTAAGAGTATCTTCAACTCCAAAGCAAAATTTACCTGTGTCTTGAGAAATCTCATCGAAGTATTTGGAAATGAGTTTCTTTTCTTGAATGAATTTAACATTTGCCAAACTTTCTGCGGCAAGTTCAATTGCCTTAACAATAAATAAATAATTAATAAATAATAATCAATTAAATAAATCAATAATAAATAACTTACTTGATTAAACCCATTTTCTCCACCATATGAAACATCAACTAATTTGATGACTTTAGTTTGAAGACGATTATCAAACATATCTGATTGTGATAATTCTGTCTTAAAGTCAGCTGAACCGGCAAGAATAAGACCAGTAACATTGACCTACATAATTTTATTATCATTTTATTATCATCTCGTTATTATTATTATTATTATTATTATTATTATTTAAAATCAAACGTAAAATTAAACTAATATTTAAAGTTAAATAACGTACTTTATCATTTGTAAGAAAGAATTGAGCAGCCAATTCTGCAACTTTACGAACATAATTATGACGTTTTTCTTCTCGAAGACGAGCAAAACGTAAAGCGGATTGACCACCTCTTCCTATAATATATTAATATATATATTATATATATATATATTTTTTTATATTTAAAAAAAAAAAGAATTAATAAATAAGTAAATAAATAAATAATAAATAATAATAAAATGTAATCAACCAATTTTTTTTTTTAAAAAAAAAGTACCATGTTTCTTTGGTAATTCCACAGCAAATTTATGAATAACTTCTCTCGTGTTACCACTTAAGGTTCCAAATAAAGCACCATTACCATCCATGACGATGAATCCAAATTTATTATCGGATTCCAGTAATTCGGATAATGCTTCGGTATGAAATTTATTATCACAAAGGTAAAGTGATGTGTTAATGGCTTTAAAAGGTTCAAAATCGATATTGACCTTTTTCTCTTTTCCTTCCTCTGTAACAATGGTACCACAATATACGACTAATCCATTGTTGGGAACTAAAAATAGAAATTTGGTTAAATAATCAGTTAATTTATACATCATTATTATTATATTATTATTATTATTATTATATCATTATTATTGTTATTATTATTATTATTAAGGGGGTAAATATACATTATATAATATTAATAATATTTTGCACAGACATTAAATTAGATTAATTAATTAATTAATTTATTTTTACCCTTAGTGTATAATTTCAATCTTTGTTGTGTTGATGTAATTGCAGCCAACACTGATAATCGATTAACCCGAGATTTTATGTTAGAAGCAGTTCCATATTCATCTGCTAACATCTTCGCAATACGAGAAATCTGATCTTTGGGTGCTATATGAAAAGTTAATTAGAAGTTTTTTTTATTAGAATATGAAAATAATTTAAAATTAATAACTTTTATTTACATTCGACTTACGAATGATGAGGGAGATCATAGAGGTCCCGTTCCTAAAAAAGTGAAAGTAAAAAATGAAAGTAAAAAAAAATGAAAGTATAAGTAAAAGAAAACGAAAAATTATGAAAGTTCCAGAAGATGAAAAAAAATTATTTACCCCCTGGCAGCCTCCAAGCTCTTGATCAATTTTTTAACCTTCCAGATTTCCACATTTCTATCAGTTGCATCTGCCGCTGCACTCGCTTGACTCATTTCTAAATTTATGATACTTTTTTCTTAAAAATTCTCTCAATGGTTTCTTTTTATTGTTAATAAATAATCGGAAAAGAGACTTTTATCGAAAAAAAAAATTTTTATTCTGATCGTCTGAAAATTAAAACTGCGGTCAAAAATATATAATCGGTTATGCGCCCGTGTAACTGTACAAAAAAGATAATCTTGCCTTATTGTTATTTTTTTTGATAATCATTTTTTTTTTTATACATTTTCTTGTTTCGGTTTTACTACACTTTAACACACTTTTATCAGTTATTTCAAAAATGCCACGCGGTGGTCGTAGTCGTAGTCGTTCTTCTGGTAAATCCTCCTCTAGTCGTTCCTCTAGTCGTTCGACACCTAATCGAACTTCTACTAGTACCAGCAAAGCACCAACACCAGTGAAAGCTGCCCCAACACCAGTCAAAGCTGCCCCAACACCAGCTCCAACACCAGTAGCTTCTTCGACTAATGTTCCTTCTAAAACCTCAACTCCTTCAGTTCCTGCTCCAACTCCATCTTCAGCACCTGGATTTTTAGGACAAGTAATTTTTTTTTTTTTAATCAAAGAGATTTGATTAAATTAATTGATTATAAAAATAAATAATAAATAATAAATAATAATATTTTTATAGGTTGCATCAACTGCTGCTGGTGTTGCGATCGGGTCCACTATTGTGAGTAAATGCGAGTAAATCTGAGTAAATCTGTACTTAATTAAATTAATATATGATTATCTCAATAATATAAAAATATTTCTTTATTATTATTTTTTTTTTAAGAGTCGCGGTGTCGCGTCTGTCTTTTCAGGTTCTAATGGGGAAGGTTCTACAGATAGTGACGCACCATTACCAGCACAAGAAGGAATTCCTCCTCGATCTTTATATAATGATAATAATGATTTACCATTCCAACCAGATGATTTTGGTAATAATGGGTGTCAAACTAATGCCAGAGATTTAGTAAAATGTTTAGAACAAAATAATAATGATATTAATGTGTGTCAATGGTATCTGGACAGTCTTAAGGCTTGTCAACAAATGGCTTCTCAATTATAATAATTATAATAATTATAATGATTATAATGATTATAATGATGATGATTAAATAGAATACAGAATAACAGTACATTATAATAATGATAACATGTTACTAATAACAACGAGGGTGATGATTATGATTTTTTTTTTATCAAATTGATTAAATAAATGTTTAATTAATTGATTGAATAATATCAATTGAGAGTAATAAATATATAAAAAAATATAATTTAAATAAAAATATAATTTTATTAAAAAAAATATAATCAAAAAAATATAATTATATATTTTTATTTTATTTTATTTATTTATTTAATTAATTATTCTTTAATAAAGAAAGATATCTCTGGGATTTGTTCTTATTATTTCCAAATAAGAATTTTTTATACATTCAATTAATATAGGTAATTTCTTGGAACGTAGAAAATGTACATATAATGCTTGATCACCATCCGCAATTAAATTCGCTAAACGAAAACTTTTATTGAGATATCTAGTAAATAAAATAAATAAATAAATAAATAAAAAATTATTTACAATATATTTATAACAACAACAACAACAACAACAACAATAATAATAATATAATAAAATTACATACTCTTGGTTGCCATCTCTGGTTTTTTCATAAATATGATGCAGGCGAAGGACAATATTTGGAACGTAAATATCTTTAATTAAGTTTAATTCTTTTTTTCGTTCTTCATCTTAAAAAATATGAAAAATGATAATAACAATTATATATAAATATATATAAATATATAAGATACAATAATAACGATAATGATGATAATAATAATAAAATCTTACCTTCAATATTATATCTACCAATGATTCCCTCTTTATCATCATTATCGGATATTAATGCATTGGTAAATTTTTCGAAAAGCTTTTCTACAGCTTCAGTAGCTTCCTTTTGAAAATTTAGAAAATTTAAATTATGAATAAATAAATAAATAAATGAATATATATATATATAAATCTATCTATATTATTAAAGTTATTTAAATTAAATCAAAAAAAAAAAAATGTCATACTCTTATACGTGTATCAAATTCAGTCTCTTTTCTATAAAAAAAATAGATAATATATCATATATTAAAATAGAAAATATTATTATAAATAAAAAATAAATAAAAAAAAATATTATAAAATTGAAAAATTGAAAGTAGGTTTAACTGTAAATTTAATACTCACTTGTGAAGTTTCTCACGTGAAATTTTCGCCCATTCCTCATTCTTACTAAAGAATTCCGTCATATTATAATAAAATGTATATTCATTAATGACCGAATATTCATATCCTTGTTTATCATCATCCTCATCTATCTTAAAAGATGATAATGGTGACTCGTGATTGGAAATTGCGTAAAAAACATGTTTGACCGCATTCAATTTTCCTTTGACCAAAAATCTTCTACATAAAGCATTGGCTCGATCAAATGCTTCAATAACTTGTTCATTATTAAATGTGAGCCATTCTAATCCTCGAATTTTAATTGAATCTTGATTTGAGACGGGACTAGTTGTTTCACGTAGGGGTGGATCAAGATCATTAACTAAATTAATTGATGATGAAGATGGTGAAGGTGAAGATGGTAAAGATGGTAAAGATGACGATGATGATGATAAAAAAGATGAAGATGAAGGAATGGGTTTACGACGTAAGGAAGTAACGAGACCATGTTGATCCTTTAAAATAATAATTAATAATAGAAAAAGTAAAGAAAATTATTTAAATTTTATAGTAATAATTTTTAATAATTTCAAATATTATTATATTTATCTATTAAAAAAAAAAAAACCTCAACATCAGGTTCATTAAATATTAAATCAAATGTTGCTCTCGTAATTGATTTAACATCTAGTCCATGATTTTCAGCCAAAATATATAATATACGTCTTTTATCCCTGCTCTCCATAATATCTGGATATAAATTTTTTAAATTTTTTAATATTTTATAATAAATAAATAAATAAATAAATAAATAATAAATAAATAAAATCAAGAATAAAATACTTTTCAAGAACGTGGCATATGTATCGATTGATAATTTTTTTGGTAATTTTGAAGCATACAAGGCGATAATTTTGTTCTATTCAAAATAATCAATAATATTATAAATAATAATATTATAAATAATAAGAATAATAAATTAAAAATATTAAACAATAAATTATTTAATTACAATAATAAATTAAACACCTGTTGATATTCAATCAAAAGTTCAGTATATAATTTAATTATTTCATCTCCTTCCATTCCCTCATTTTCAGGTATTGGAAGCTTTAATTCACGTAAATATAAAACAAAGTAAGCTGCAAAGCGAAGGATATAACAATAAACATCATTTCTGCAAATATTATAAATTATTATAAATTATTATTATTAATTATTATAAATTATTGCAAATATTATAAAAATGTGAATAGAAAATTTTTAACTCACTCATTTTGTCTTAATTGATTATTTGTCAATTCTTCTTTCAAAACATTTATAATTGTAAAAGGTTGATTCAAAATATAAAGTTTTTGAATTTTATGAAATAATTCCATAATAGGATACCTAAAAAAAAATAAATGTAATTTTAACATATATATGTGTATAATGGGGAAGGAAAGAACGACACGAAGCGACAGAATATAATTACTTGTCAACTTTTAGAGCTTCTACTGCCCGAAATATATCCTCGGGAGAAAAATCAACAAATTTTGTAGGAACTGGTAATTCCTCATCTAAAACTTCCATGGAACTACGACCTTTTAGATTAAAGTACTTTATTAGAAAGAAAAAAATTAATTAATTAAATAATTGGTAAATAATTGCTATAAAATATGTATTATATATATAGAGAAATATAAATATAAAAAAAAAAAAAAACCTGTTCTTGTTTGCATTCTATCATTCCATTATAATATGCCCATACATAATCTTCCCATTTTACACATACAGGAAGAACCTAAATTTAAAAATTCATAAAAATTAATTGTGAATATAAATTCTCTCGTTTAATAATTTTCACGTTTTTTTTTTTTGAATTATTTAATATATTTTAATATTATTACATTTTCTACATCACCACATAGAACAGCATTATATGCACGTTCATAGATATCTAAATTATTCTATAATGAATATAAAATATAAAATATAAATTATAATATAGAAAAAATATATAAATATAAATATAAATATAAATATAAATGTAACCTCTCGTGCGGTTCTATAAAAGATTGCACGCGTCAAAGGTCTATTTATATTTCCGTATCCATTTATAGATTCTTCTAATAATAAAAAAAAAATTTTTTTTTAAAAAAATTCTAAAATAATCATAATACAAAATAATAGTAATAATAAATAATGGTAATAAATACCATCCTGATTTTCATTTTCACCGTACACAATGTAACCACTAATAGCAGCTGCCCTAAAATATTGACAATTTTTTTCGCAAATGTCAAATGCGTTGCTAAGTTGACCTCTTCGTAAATATTCATATATTGATTTTGCCAATTCTTTTTCGTGTGCCTTTATTTAATTAATTAATTAATTATTTATTTATTTATTTATTTGTTTTATTTGTTTTAAAAATAAAATTCTTTTTTTAAATGAAATAATAATTGTCTCTTTGATAAAAATTCAAAAAACCTGATCAGAATGATGAAGAGGAATTCCATTTCTGTATGGACCATCCGGGTCAAGATATTTATTGCCTTCCGTATCTTTTAAAGTGTACATGATATAATCTCGAGTAAATCCCCAAAGTTCTGATTGTGTTTCCACTGGATTAAATGGTGGAGCTTTTTCTTGTAACCATTTTCGTACAATCTGTATTTTTCATATAAAATCAAATCAAATCAAATAAAATTTTGTTCGGTAAAAAAAAAAAAATTTCATCTATTTTATTTTATTCATTAATTCATTTATTTTAATACCAATGCTTCAGCGAAATCATGATTTTCTTCTGCAAGTCTATTAAATAAATCTCTTTCTGTTTGATATGATTTTGGGGATATTCCAACATCTTTTGTTGTGGATCGAAGACTTTTATATAACGAAAAAGTGTCATGTGAATTGAATCAATGAATAAATAATAATAATAAATAATAATCAATAAATAATAATCATTAATTTTAATCAATAAATAATCTTCCTACAGTTGTAATTGACTTATTAAATTCCATGTGTTTCTTTCTGCCTCCCACATAATACAATGTTTATATTCTGACGTAAATGATCTAACTTGTTGTTTAATTCTTTCCAAGCTTTATCATATTAAAAATTTTCAATTAATCCATGATCTTATATGATACATACGCATCAAAAGAAAAACAATAATAATAATTATAATAAATCTTACAAGTTATCACACAATTCTTCATAACTCTCGGGTTTTTTTTGCACATCTACTTGTTGGTAATTTTTTGAATAAGCCTCGGTGAATTGTGTGAATACATCTTGCATAGTAAAATATTCTTCTCCTGAATTGTTTTCATCATTATTATTATTATTATTATTTTATTATTATTTTAAACAAACAATAAGGTTAATTATTTTTTTTTTGAATGTAAAAAAATTTCAATAATAATAATGACCTTCAGTCAAGAACATTTCTTGATTATTTTCGATTTGATCTGAATAGATCAGCCAATAAAAATATAGAGTTATGTCATGTGAGCATGCATGTCACTTTAAATGACATCACTCCTGTATATATTCAGGTCTTGGTATACAGTTCAAACGTAGAACTTAACATGTTAATTTAATTTGCATTTATCAGATTATACCCAATTAATAATCGGTCATTTTAACTAATCAGCATCAATCACTGTATAAGTTTCATAAAGCTTTTAAAAATTCGAGTTAGCTTAGTAGAGTTCGGACAAATTTTTTTTCGTGTTATGTGAATTAACATGTTAATAACTTTCAAATTTATTCAAATTTATTCCGTGGTAAACTGAACGCGCAGTAAATACATAAATGAAACGTACCAATCATAAATATATCTTACGTAGAAATTTAGAAACCATCATTATTTTTACAGCTGGTTCGTTATTTTCATCCCTCGCATGGTATACAACTTTTGCATTCTTTGGTTGGCTGATTTGTACCAACTTTTTAAATAATTCTGTCGATTTCTCTATCACATCCATAACTTGTTTCCACCAATCTGCACGTCTTCTAGGCTTTGCCTTTCGCTCGATCATAACCCTTACATTCGGTACTATCCATGTAAGAATTGCACTATCGATAAATTAAAAATTAGATTTTACAATTAGGCACTGTTCAAGAACAACGAATTTAAATTCTGGTTTGTAAATTCTTTGTATAATCTAAGTAATATTTTTTTTTTACATATATGCAATACATTCTAACAAAGTATAAACAGTTATCATTCACAGCCTTTCAAATAATCCTGAAGAGCTCGATCTCAGAAGCTACGCTTAAAAAACTAGGACTAGAGCGAAGATATGAAGAAGTTTTATGGTATGTATATAATAAATTTTATGGTAGAAATATGACTGACCTAATTTCGCACAATGGATTTTGTAGAGCATAGTCTTGTCTTAACTTATTTTACCTACGCGACATTGGTTTAAAGAAGGAGAGGTGAAGAACTTGGAACTATTACTCTTACATATCATCGCCTCATAAAATCTGGTTATCCAAAAGTTCACATGTCCTTATTATTAGTGGTCAGATTGTGCGCTACGGTGAAAAAATATCAGCGGATGAATATGATGAATTGTTGAAAAAACATCCTGGAATGTTTTACGCACAATTGAGTAACATATAAAAATAAATAAAAATATAATTTAAAAAAAATAAATCAAAAATTAAAAATACAATTAGATGTTTTATTTTATTTATCTATTTAATAATTAACTCTTCTTTAATAAAGAAAGATATCTCTGAGATTTATTCTTATTATTTCCAAAATAAGAATTTTTATACATTCAATTAATATAGGTAATTTCTTGGATGTACATATAATGCTTGATTATCATCCGCAATTAAATTCGCTAAACTAAAACTTTTATCTAGTAAATAAAAAAAATAAATAAAAAATTATTAACAATAATTAATAATAGTAATAATAATAATAATAATAATAATAATAAAATAATAAAATTACATACTCTTGGTTGTCATCTCTAAAATATGATGCAGGAGAAGGACAATGTTTGGAACTTAAATATCTTTAATTAAATTCAATTCTTTTTTTCGTTCTTCATTTTTTAAAAATATGAAAAATGGCAACAATTATATATATATATATATATATAAAGTACAACAATAAAGATAATGATGATAATAAATCTTACCTTCAATATTATATCTACCAGTAATTCCCTCTTTATCAACATCATCGGATATTAATGCATTGGTAAATTTTTTGAAAAGCTTTTCTACAGTTTCAATAGCTTCCTTAATATTTGAAGAATATATATATAAATCTATCTATATTATTAAAGTTATTTAAATTAAATAAAAAAAAATGTCATACTCTTATACGTGTATTAAAGCATGTCTCTTTCTATAAAAATAGATAGGTAGAAAAATATTATTATAAATAAAAATAAAAATTAAGTATTAACTGTAAATTTAATATTTGTGAAGTTTCTCACGTGAAATTTTCGCCCATTCCTATATCCCAATTTATCATCATCTATTTTATAAGATGATAAAGGTGACTCTTGATTGGAAATTTTGTAAAAAACATGTTTGACCGCATTCAATTTCCGTTATGAAATTTTTATTAAAAATAATCCCGGAATATTTCTTTTTCCATTTGTTGTTGATGATGATGGCCTTCTTCAATTTGTTTTCATAAAGTTTTGATATTTAAATTTACGAATTCAATAAATAACACTCTACCATTGGTTTTTCATGAAGTATCTTTTGTGCATATAACATGGCTGAATCAAACGTAACTGTCGCAATAGCGATCAAACTTTACGATATTATTATATTTCAATATAAAAATAAAAACTGTCGTCAACTTCTACAACATTTAGATGCAAACGCGTGAGACGGTTTTTCCGAAATAAAACGTGGATCAACTTAAATTCCGATTCGGGTGAAACATGATATAAAAACAAAAACCGATGCTTCATTTTGTATCGCTACATAGATTGTGATATCATATCACAACGTTACATGCAATGTGGCACAGTTATTTTCACGGAGTTGAAAGCTTCGCTAAAACATAATCTGGGATATATTAGTTAATGTTACTACTATAAAAGATTTTTTATAGTAGAAGCAGCAATTATAAAGCTAATACAGTTAATAAGATAGGTGAATGGATAGATTATATGGAGTAGCGGGAAGGAACTGCCTTCTATATTTTATCATGCTTATTTGATCATGTATTTCAATAAATCTACACTGTCAGGCCTAAATTCGTGGGATGTCAGTGGATAATTCCTGGATAAGTCTTTTTAACACGCGAGAATATTTATTCTTAACTTGTTTCTTAATTCTTTTAGTGTAAGGTGTATCCCAACTTCATTAGTCGTTTTTTTATCAGGCTGTTTTCCGACTCGAGTTTCGTCAGAGTCTTCCATTTCGCCATCAGTTTCCTTCATGAATTACCGGTGAATTGATCTGAAGTTAATTATTCATCTTCCTAACTATTGATGAAGTACTTGACTGGGACGACTGTTGTGAAAATTTTCGTTCAGCGGGTATCACGGGTTCGATAACTTTACCACATAGGACATGCATTCGATTCGGTAAGTAAAAAACTCTTTCTCAATACAAATTCTATTATCTACATGAAGGTGTTGTAAACGATTCAAAGTTAAAATTTTTTATTGCATACTGAGCATGGCGGAAGTTCTATAAAGTCAGTGGTTTCTCCCGTTTCTTTTAAGATATTATAGGAAAGTATTTTGAAGTTAGAAAGGACATATCGGTTTTATTTTCGCTTAACCTCACCTGTTTCTATAACATATTACAAAGACTTCGCTCTATACGTTTAGCATAACTTATGTCCGAAATTTGTATGGAAGAAATTATTATAGGGGAGTCAAATGGAAATGAATCAAAAAAATACTGAGAGAAATATGGTTACACGGCAAATCGAGATTAAATAACTATATATAGAACATAATTTTTCGTCCTGTTTTTATACATCAAAACTCGTTCCACTAAATCAAGATAATAAATTATTGGCGATCCTAATATAGCGATAGATTTACTATTGCTAGGTCAACTGTGCGACGTCAAACGTCAAAGGTAGAGAATTCTTAGATTATCTAGATCGTGATTTATAAATGCGAGATACCCTATTGTCTCGGAACCATGAGTTGGCTCCGGTTCAGAATCGAAAGACTCAGAACTAATGATATTTGCATTCCGATAAATATCGATCTTTACCACCAGTTCGATATAGCCATTGAAGTACAAGTTGGATTTTTTTTTATTCGTTTTTGATACCATAAACGAAATGCTCACTGAATAATTAATACTGCTTGTTTTTTGATATATGAGGGCTTTCTAAAAAAACAATTTTGTTGATGTTTTAAATGTGTAATAACTGAACGGTTATACCAACATCGACATTTGATACATAGACCATAAATTTTGAAGACATATTTTCTCAGCACATTATTAGACATATAAATATATGAATAGTATGAATTTGTTCTATAAAACTTTGTCATGTTTTATTTCTCGCTAATATATAATTAATATCTGTATATCTTTACATAAAAACCGATAAATGCACAGCTACTATGCAATTTTATTAAATAATCAAAATCTCAGCACTTTATTAATAAGAAGAATGTCACTTTTATTAACTTTCTCATATAAGCACTACAAGATTAGTTTTTCATACACCAAAGTTTAAAAATCCCAACACCTTTAACCTTGCAGGATCATCAGATGATAAAGTATAATCAATTTCTATCTTAACTTAGAATAGTAAAATAGTAAAATATAATAAACTGATTTGTATTATACTCTAATTAGTCGAATTAAATAGGAAAGATTATTCTTGTGGCGAAGTCAGACATTCTGCACTTTCTGGCAAATTATGTGGCCAATCACAACGACTACTGATTGGATTAAATTGTAAACCAATTGGGCAATCAATTAAGTACGCAGTTCCATCATTACTACAGTGATAGAATTTTGAACAATCATTTGGGTCTGGTAGGTATGGTAAGTTTGAGTTAATAACCCCAGAACAATCAACTTCTGTATCTTGAGAAGTAACGAAGCCAATGATGCAAAGTAAATATAAGTATTTCGTGATCGATAAGAGGGTGATAGATCTTTTAATCATGTTAAAAAAAAGTTATAATAAGTGGATCGATAAAGATTTTCTGTAATTTTTTTTAAATCAATTGAATGTTTATAGATAAAAAAGGGCGGCTTTTTATAATTTTTTTTCTCCCAATAAAGATCTACTTAAACTCTTTCATCTGTGCTGATTTTAAGAGTGTATACTGAACCTATCACACTTATAGTCTTTTTTTAAAACTCAGCAGTATGTTGTGATCAGGGCTGAAAATGCAGGAGTTGTGAACATAAAATGCATGTATTGTTTTAAATGGTAATATTTAATTGTATTAACATTTAAGCGTTCGAAGAATTCGCCAACACTATTCTTACCGCTAGGTCACAACTGTTACAAATAGAGTTTACAAAATTATTTAATGATCACCAACCACTAAAAAGATACAAACGTTTGTTGTTCTAACAAGTGTTACAACCTGTAATTCTTTAACGCCAAGAACAAATTAAATTTCAGCTGTTTTCCAAATTTGTAACTTTCATAACTTTCATTTGGTAGTTACCCGGCTGGACGTGATGATCTAATAACTTTGATCCCGAGTATTTCAACGGTATCAGGTATGATAATCAAGCTGTTAATTTGGAATGGGTAACTCATAAAGAAAAATGTTGAACGTATAGTATTTCTAGAAAAATTGTGCAAAAGACATTGGATGGAAATGTTGGGATTCCATTACCCTTGCATCGAATACTCTTAATATAGTAATGAATGTTGTAGAAAAAATCTAAATACCGCTGGAAGATGGTATTTTTTGGATATATTATGAAGATTATATAAAGATCTTGAAGAATGGGGATAAATAGAGCTTGATTCCCGAAAATTTAGAGTTTTATCTTTAGGGAGGGTTCAGCTACCTAATGGTTTAATCTCACGAGGATCTCTAGATGCAGGTTATCATAGAGTCGCTCGAGAAAAATATCGTGTTCATCACCTGGTCGCGTTGGCATTTTGTCCCAAAGAAGAAAGTAAAGAATATGTAAATCATATTGACGGAGATTCTACCAATAACAAAGCATCCAATCTCGAATGATGAACACAAAAAGAAAACGTTCAACATGCTATACGTCTTGGGTTTCAGCACCAACGTGTTGTCAAGCAGATTTTCGATGATGGATCTTTCCGAGAATTTCCATCCATAGCTGAAGCACGGTGTGTTACCGGAATTGATCATGCTGGAGGATGTTGTTGGGAGTATGTGGCACAATAAATATTCATCCGATTAGCAATGTAATAGAGTTTTGGTCATAATATATAATCTGCATCTCTATCATATATGCTTGCGGTTGGTTAAGGATATAAAGGTAAATTTGATTAGATTTTTTTTTGTCTAATTTTGCATGAAACGGACGAAAGTGAAACTCACCTTATTTTATATGATCTGCAACAACATTCGTGGTCTAAGAATCGAATTTGAAATAACAAAAATCTATTTCTTATACTCACTTATACTCACCCACAACGATACTTGAATATTCGGTTAAAAATCAATCCGGTTGGCAGATTAAAAATTTACTATAAGCGCACACAACTCACCACATTTGAAATAAAATGATTGACAAGCGGATTGCGCAAGATTTGGGATATATAAACACCCGATTAATTGTTACAACACAAAACATGCGAAAAAATGCATAACTTTATTATTTTTTTTATTTACATTAAGGCTTGAAAGCCATTGAAAATGAAAAACAGAGAATAAATTAATAAAAGATGTGACTTCTTGCTTTTACTATATGTAACAAATATTTACATTATGCGAACATTTGTAGTGATGGAATTTCATAATCATCACTAAATTTACTAATAAATTGATCTATAATTGGTTGTTCATCTCTTTTAACAACACTTTTTAATCTTTTGCGCATTGACATGTTATATAATTCTTTTTCCGTCATATCATCGATTAAGTCAGCCATTCTATTATCAAAGTCAACCTTTTCAGTAATAGTTTCATGAAACTTTGTTCGTTTTCTGAATATGTAATACTTTTTCCAAATGCGCTATGAATAGTCTCTCCTTCCTTGAGTATAAACTGTTTAATTATTGCCAAAGCAATGCCGCGTTTTTCAATTTCAGATGTCGCTAAATACAATTTCCCTTTTTCTGCAAAAAAAAAGAATATAATCCAATTGTCATTACAATCAGTTAAAACAGACATAGGATTTAGAGCACTCTGCTTATCCATCATAATTAAGTCTCCAATAGTTGACCAGTTTTAAAATTCTCCTTCCTTTTCTTAGTTTCAATCCAAACACCGGGGTTACCGCTTGCTTCAATAGAATGTCAGCACCGCCTTTTAAAATAACATTGGCATTTTGTAATTCAAGTTCATTTTTTTTTTGTATGAATATCCTTTACGCGAAAACCTCTTGGTAGATTTAATACATCACTAAATCATTTCTCAACTTCGGACATTTGTCTATCTTCATCAGTTTCCATATCCCACAAGAATGGATCGCATTCTATTGGTTCTATATTTTCAAAGTCATCCATTAGGATCTAATAATGAATAAATAATAAATAATAATATCATTAAAATAATACTGAAGTGTGTGGTTTGTGTGCTCACATTCATAGGTGTTAATCCAAGATGATCCAACATATTATTCGTTTCAACACGATTTTGCTGGGAGAATTCTTTCATTCCACTTTTTACGATCTCTTTTAAATCTCCTGACTCTTCATATTTACGTTTTGACGTCACTTGTAAAAAACTAAAGTTAGTTAATGTTGCAAAAACATAAAGAAATTTTTAACCTGTTAAACATTGATTCTTTCCCGATAAGCTTGAATACATACAAGGTGCATTTACAATAACTTGTAATGGCGTGTTCGAGGTATTCTCAAAGCTCTTGTCTACAACAAACCCAGGATCTAGGTCGTCGTTGTCTTCATGTCTTCTTAGAATAATGTCGTCAATATCAATATCACCTAACTTACTTGAAAGTTTTTTCTTGATCGTTTCTTTCAAGTCATCTACATCCTCTCCATTGAAAACAATTTTTACTGGTTGCCCGTCACCATACTTGATCCAGATTTTAGACGAAGCGCCTAAGTGAACGAGCCCTAAAGCTATTTTAAAGATAAACAGTATTTGCAATAAGTCTACCTTACCACCGGATATAGATTATTCTTTTTGAAGGGAAGAAGAAAGTACTTCGGAATATTTGCCTTTGGTGGTTGTATTCTATGTACCTTACCTTTAGCTTTTTTTTCTTTTTTTTCTGTCTCTGTTTTTTCGTAAGCATGACAGAAATTCCCTATTGATGATCTTGTTACACAAAATTTTTCAAGCATGGAAGCTTTGCGCTGATCCGAACAGTTCAAAACTTATTATAAAAAAAGTTATTAAATAAAAGCAGTTAATGTGTATATATTTTTAACCCTTTTGTTGAAAACTTGACATTATAACATAATTATATGTAAATTTTTTTTTCACTTTAAAAATAATAAAAAAATTAACTTTAAAATATTTGAAATGAAAATATGAACATGTTTATTATATTAATATATTAATATATTTTATACTGTTATTTATTATTATTATTTTTTAAGATGACAAGTATGGTCTCAACTTTATTCATACAGTATGGAACCTCTATAATAGGAACTTAGTTAAAAATTGGTCAGTCTTTTTGCATTAAAACTTTATTTACTATATATAGAAATAAAATTTTAACTGTAAAAATTGTAATGATTTCAGATATTTTGCATCTGTTAAAATGCCATTGACAAAAGTTTTAAAAATAAAAAATGAAATTTATAATTTTATCTAAACATGTGAATATATTTTCTGAATTTTTATTGATTAAAAAGTATTTGTAAAATAATAAAATTTGAAAATAATTGTTAAAATTAAAATGCTAATTGTGATACAATAAGTAATTTAAATTGTATAAACTTTTTTTATTAGATTTCCCTAAACTAGGTCTATTATATAATATATTTTGTAATAAAGTTAAACATTTATACATAAAGATATTGCACTTAAAGAGTGGAACTAAACCTATTTTGAAATTCCTAAACCCTTCAGAATTTTATTTTGATCCTAAACCTTTTGTCCAAACCTCTTAAACTATCCTAGATTTCTTAAACTATTCTAAACTTCTTAAATTGTTCTAAACCTCTTAAATTATTCTAACCTTTTAAATTGTTCTAAACTTCTTAAACTATCTTAGAAAGTTTAAAATAGTTTAAAAGATTTAAAATAATTTAAAAAAGCTAAGTTGTTTTAAATTATTTTAAATTAAAATATTATATATATTTATATCTAATATATATAATTGTATACATGTTGTCAAAAATAAAAAGTCTTTAACTCAATTTCAATTTTTTTAAGTTTTAATTATATCTGACTTAATAATTATATCAATTTACTATATAAAAATAAAAATTTTCTTTAACTCAATTCCAATTTTTTTAATTTTGTTTGTATATATTTTATTTAATTACTGAGGTTATAATTATTAATTAATTATAAATTTCATATTTTTTAATTATTTATAAGTTTGATATATAAGTTTGAATTAGAATTAAATAATAAGAAACAATTTTCTACTAGATATTTTAATTGCCAATTCACCAATCAATTGGACTACCTGATCAAAAATTAATATAAAATCATTGTATTAATTAATACTAGTAAAATGTATTTTTCATTGAATCTTCATGTCCTCTATTCAAAATTATAAAAGACAGTTGTTAGTTTCCAGTATTATTGTTTAGAAACTGCATTATGAACCTTTTGTTATTAGTTGATGGATTTTTATAAAAACAAAAACAATTCAAAATAAACAATATATTTCAATTTGTATTAATATAAGAATCAAATTTGAACTCAATTAAAAAGAATTTATTATTTGAGTAGTTGATAATAATTGGAAGTCTAGTTATGTATGTAAGTTAGATATGAAAGCTATAATTTATTTAATATCAAGTGTAACAATAAATGAAACTTACAAAAAAATCTTTGATGTTAAGACACTATTAACCTTATTTCTTAATTTTTATATATATTTTTATTAACATTATTATATTAGTTTATTAATTAGATTTCTTTATTTGTATAACATTATATATTAGTATTATTATTTACGAGTAACAGATGTAGATCATTTTTATTGTAATGCAAGGTCAACACCTCTGGTTGACACCTTTGGTTAACACCTCTGGTCGCCACCTCTGGTAAAAACCTCTAGCACAAATAACTCATT